CAAAAATAAAATAGCAAAATACTATCAATTTTCCAAACCGTAATACAGTGAGACATGTGGCCATACATGTACATGCCAAACATCGTATGCTTCACTGCCACTTTTAAATATTGAACATGAAAGACGCCCGATTCCTTTTCGCACAAACTAGTTATAAGTGATATTTAAGAAAGTTTTTTTTTCATGCACCATAGTTGTCTACCGCAGATGTCTTACCAAGCACAAATCTGCCTCACAATTCTTCTTTTAAAATTGACCAGATTAGAATATTATCTAAACAGTTTTTAATGATCCATGGATTTACACAAACAGGTAAATTATAAAAGAGGATGTAGAAAAAGATTAACTTCACAGCCAGCTAAAGCTCGCTGGATATAAGTTTCGGTGAAAACGTTTGTCATTACGTAGTGCCATTTATCTCACTAAGAGCTTTGGAAATATACACAGTAATTATGCAATGCCACACGGTGCCAATTTCAATTGAATCAGAACCAGCTCAATCTCCACGGCAGCACAAATAGACTAGTCTTGGGCCTCAGAGATTCACGGCTCATACTGTTCATCATTTAATCCAAATACACCTTTGACTGTGCTGTAAGTTAACAAACGGGGGCGGGTCATACATTTGACGTCACATTTTCATACACCACGTGACTTACTTTGACGGTAAACCGCAGATCAGAAAGTTAATTATATATATATATATATGATGCATTTCGTATATAGTACAGTATTTGCTGTGTGGCTGTGAAAGTAAGTCAACTTGGAATCATAAATGTCACCGTATAAGTGAAGGAGCTGAAGATTGGGTAAAGTATATCCCCTTTACACTATTTTTATTTTAGGAGATTTTCTAAAACCTCAAATTGAATTTTTCTTGACGTAGTGCCCGTACTGTTTGTGTGTGTGTATTGCTGGTGGAATTATAAGGCCAAACATGGTACACATGTAAGATTTTTTGTATCTTTTAAGGTGACGGTCGTGCCAACGATAGATCTCTCTCTCTGTCTCTCTCTCTCTCTCTCTCTCACACACACACACACACACACCCTGTGTTAATATTTGCCGGACTACTGACCAAAGAGGTCATGATATAATGACTTCTGTATGACTGAAGCCCAATATAGACAATGTAATTATTATCATCCCCACTCTCACTCTCTATATAATTATAAAACAAATGTATATAATCTCGCTTTCGCGTGCCCATTTGTCAGGGTATTTGTCATCATTGGTGCAGTTATTGTGACAAGAGGTCGACCCATCCACTGCAGTTTTAAATAGTGTAGATGCCTTACCATATGGACTTTGTCCATGAATTCCTGGGCATTGTTAACCAATGTAGTTTACCTTTAACGATGGGGAATGATGCTAATGCGTACACACATGTTACGCTAAATTTACAGCTGCTACAAAGCGAAAAGGGGTATATATTGTAGCTAACAACGTCAATGTAAGGACGCAGGTAAGACGTATAAAACATGCACGCTCGCGCGCGCGAGGGTGTGAGCGCGTGTGTGTGTGTGTCTTTGTATAGGTTCAATACTTAATTGATTTATACATGTGTATAACATAAGTTTGTACATAAGTTAACGGATAACAATACACATGCATGAAATATATATATTAGACATGGACAGTAATACACACTGTAGTTGTCGTAGATCGGGGTTGTTGCTGCAAAATTCATACTGTGGTAAGTTCAATTAAAAAAGGTACGATAGTCAGAAGTTAGTAAGTCCCAATACCAAGTTATACGTGTACTCGTGTATGTTAACTTAATAGTCAGATGACAGTGACAAGTATTATGATCGCTTCCAGCCAAATGTCCCATATCATCTTAACTGACACAAACAGCGGTTTTTATTTATGGGTAAATATGCATTGCTATCTATCTATCTACCTATCTATCTATGTATCTATTGTTATATTTTTGAGTTTTAAATACCCATTGTACCGTTGCGATTAATATCCACAACAAAGTAGCAACTCATATTAAAAAAAAAACAAGACGTGTTCGAGGTTGGTGATAAAAAGAGTTGGATTTTCCAGAAAAATTAGACGTTTGATAATATAAATCTAACGCTCCCAATGTGTCTATAATGGTAAAATGAATGAAAATGCTGGACGCAGTGAGGGACACGTACTATCAGGATGTGATTTTAAAACGATTTCCGTCCACATATTAAACACCCTGATAATCGAAGCACTGGCGGTGAAACTGATAACCAAACAGCAAGGTTCTTCTTTTTTTTTGTTGTTGTTTTTTTTTTTCAGGAAGGGGGTGGTGTTTTACACGTATCGCGTAATGAGCAGTTTTATAATTACAAATCCTTTTTTACTGCTTTGAAGAACTTACCAATACTAAAAGGTAAGTATAGCCTAGATGCTTCACTATTTTCTCTGTCCTCAAAAAAAGTGACAAGTTCAGCGATTACATCCAATTACTATAATTTCATGAGAAGTATGTTTACAAACAAGAAGCAACATGCTTAGAGTGCTGCAGTGTACATTCTCTGCGGTTCTGGTGCCACAAAATACTTCTTGTCTGAACTATTAGTCTTAACTTATAGACAAAAATAGCAGTCTACTTTGACCCAAGTACAATTAGTAGTAGTCCCATAAAACATTGCACCTATTTTATAAAAAAAAAAAATGCATGGTCTACGTTTAAAACAAATACGAACTTTTTAATTAAACTTTTAATCAAATTCAGATAACTACAAATTTATCCTGACCAAATATAAGCTGTAAAAGTTAATACCAATTTTCGGTTATATTCTGAACTGTGTTCAAAATATGACAAAAGTTGGCTCGATACCGGTCCTTAGAGGATCTTGTCCCAACGCACCTTACGATGGCCCTTACAAGTGTAAGATTAATTGGAAGGTTATCTGGGTGACTGGGGCGGAAATACTGAAAATTGTTAGAAAATAAACAAGGTTAATGCCGACAGCACTGATGGCTCACTTTAACAATTTTGAGATAGATCCATTGCCTTCAGATGGGCTGATCGATCATTGAAAACAGATCTGACAGTCTCTCTCTCTCTCTCTCTCTCTCTCTCTCTCTCTCACTCTTAAGAAAAAAAAAATAAATCAATAAAATTTCTTACTCACGAATTCACTACTCAGACCGTCTCTGCACTTGAATGTGATATTTTGTGCCATTTTTACTTAAATAATTTAGTTCCAAATATATCATGGGTCATTTAAGGTCATTTTGACCACTATTTTTCCCTGACGTAAATTTCGATATCACGGACTTTTATTTGAGGGTTTTTTCAATTTTATTTTCATTTTGAAAAGCTAAATGAGAAAAGACGAGTAGCTTTGATTTATTTTCGGACATTTTCATATTCGCACAGTATACCTTTAAATTCACCGCGGGTCATGAAGCGATTAGGTCGAGAATTACCCATAAAATTACATGTACATGTGTAAACACAACGGCATGGCACTGCTTTCGAAAGACGTACCGGTTGAGAGGGCCATTCGAATTAAAGGTTACGCCACCAGACAGAGAGAAAACAGCTGCCAATTTATAGACGTAATGCCTTGCTGGTGATTATTCAAGACAGCCATGCGTAAAATAATATTCTAAGTGATGCGATTTATTCTTCGATGCTTCCGACACGGATTCGGTCGACTGCAAGCACATTTTTCGGTACGCTCTTTGAATGGAAAACATTTACTGAGCAAGGAGACAAGACTTCAGACGTATTATGTTAAACGATGTCAGTATTGTAACAGGTGTAAAAAAACAGGTTTTGTGATTTTGGTATGTTTTAACATCAAAGTACAAGTGCATGCATTTGTCATACATGTATTCAGGTTGTTGATACTGGATGATAAATAAATGACATATTTAATAAATAAATAAATAAATAAATAAATAAATAAATAAATAAAGATAAAGATATTTGCGAAATGTCCGAACGGGATGTTGTATAATGATTGGTCTGTTTCAGCGAAGAGACGCATTTTCCCGATACAGTAAATCGATGCTAATGTAGCGCATTTTCTGTGAAAGCACGAGCATTTTTTGTTCTGCACATTTGATGGAGACTAGTTTGTATTGACAGCTATCTGAACACTGCCTGACAAAGAACAGTAGGATTTTAAGTTAGCCTGTTACGTGCATCCATAATGGGCACTACAAATAATTCAAAACAACGAATGTCTGTCGTCTGCTGTGACAATGACTTTGAAATGATTGATCATTTCCTCCGTTCCTGTTTCAGAGTTCCTCGATTTAATTAGAAAATCGTTTCGTGACGACACGAATGAATTTGTAAAGTCGAAGTGTGGTTAAGAGGGTATTTGTACTGTTGGATAACCTTTCCATGAAGATGAGTAGGTGTGTTTTCTTGCAAATTTGTTCACTAGATACACATTGCAAAAGGCTGTGTAATCTCTAGGTAATTGTTTGTATCGGTTAAGCGTTTTTAATCTTTAAATCAGTTGAGTTGAAATTGATCTTCCAAAGGTCAGTTAACGAACGTTGCACAGCGTCACCTTTGCAGACGAGACAGGCGGATTTCAGCTATCGCTTCCTTACAATTGGCACTGCAAATGCAAACTGCTTTTTGGGTTGCGGAGATAATTTAGGTAAATTTCAAGAAGGAGATATTGTAAATATGTTTTAAGAGGAGATTGATTCGTCTCAAACACTTTCTAGACAGTCCTAAATATGTGGTGCACACATTTAGAAGTGGCATTTTGATGTTAGGCATGATGTTTTCTTTCGGGTATTTCATAGCGTTTTCATTTTTTTATTTCATTACATTTCATTTGATTTCATTTAAACAATTTTATTCATTAACTTATTTTTCATTTTGAATCATTTGTAACCTTTTTTAAGAGAGAGAGAGAAACTTTTGCCGACTATGACTGATAACCGATAGATGGCGCAGCGGTACCCAAGACTTTGCAAGGCCTGTTGAGGTCACTGGTTTACAGGAAATACGAAGTTCGCATCAATCAATTTTTATCTTTCAGATTAAATGAAGGCGAAGCACTAACCGGGTGAGGACCAGATGCATTCAAAGAGGGCAACCCTTAGAAGGAAATTCTACGACCTTAATACACAGGTTATTTATCCAAGTTATACAAAAAGTCTTTTTAAAGCAGAATTGCTAGATTGAATCCAGCCAGGGAACCGCAGGCTTTTGTTCTCATTCCAAGGGAAATCGTAAGATAGAAGTTGGCAGTTACAGGAACTTTGTAACTCTAAGTGGAAGAAACTGCAAAAGAATAGGAGGAAAAAAAACAAGAATAAGTATGCAAAAAAGTTTTGTAGATCACATAGTCCAGTAGAAGCTTAATTGCTCGCAACTAGCCATTTTAAGTATTATTTATTGTTAAACCGTTCTTTATCTGCAGGGTTTGGATTCCTAAAGCTACACACGGACGGGAAACAGTTTACGTTCTGAATGAACTAATCTTCGGTTTATGGATTTGAATTCCACATCACTTATTCCATGGACTCCATCGCTCTGTAATGACAAGTAAGGGCAAGAACGACGACTCGAGGAATTGAAAATGAAGAGCTACGGGGTCTCCTGAAAACTTTGCCATTTTTATGCGATTCAGTTGTAACAAAAACCTGTACAGGTGTAAGTAGAAATCACTGCACAATAGCACGAAAACTGAACTGAAAAGTATCATATCGCATTTTTGCAAAAGTGTTCTAAAGAAATACGCAAACGAAACAAAAATTACCGCAAATTTTACATTCGTTTCTTTTGGGAAAAGAGTATTCGATACTGGAGCAGTTAGCCAGAGAACTGTCACTAAAATATTGCACCGAAACTAACGTTTGTTAAAAGTGGAACTCAATCCGCTATTAACGTCAGAGATTATTTTCAGTAAATCGCAGAGTGTGCGAAAAGACGCGAGCGTCAAGAACGTGTGTAAAAGACACCAGAAAGAAACTAACCTCTTTTAACTCAAACATTTAACCCTAGGACCTATAACCCTAACGCAAATTAAGGTAAGGGGCTTTAAAACCAGAAATCTGCCAAGGCATTCGCTACCATGGAGAACCTCACTAATAACAGCAATGTCATTGACTGCCCTCGCGCATATACAGCAGACGACACCAAAGCGGTCGTGCCTGTTATTCTGGTCTGTATTTGTTTCGTTGGAGTCGTGGGTAACATGGGCGTTATCTACGTCGTCTACAAATTTCGCCAGATGAATCCACTGTTCCTGAATTTAGCTGTGGCAGACCTTCTGTTCAGTCTCTTCGCATTGCCGATTTACTCCGCTTTCTACGCAACGAAGCATACAATTCTCATAGGAGACTTCACGTGTAAGATTCTCTACTATTTGACATACGTCACCATGGGCGTCAGCATCTATTCTCTAGTGGCTATTTGTCTGCTCAGATATTTCGGGATTAAATACCCGATCCACATAAGAACCATGCTGGGGCGTGGTACATCGTACAAAGCGGCAGGGGTCACATGGTTGGTCATGTTACTTCTGAACATCCCGATTTTGATTCTGATGACAGAGCAAGGTGGCAGGACCTGTGCACTTCGTTCTGGAGAGATTTACTTATACTATATCTACGTAGCAGTGGTGAGTGGTGTCGACTTTATAGTGCCGGCTATTATCATTGCCATTTTATCAACGTTTATTATCATACATGTGTTGCACATACAAAAGGAGCAGCGACATCTATCGGAGTTTGAAAAAGATGGATTTCACAGGGCGTCCAAACGTGCCACAAAGAGGCTGATGCTGTTGGTGATTCTCGTTTTCAGCCTTTTTATCGTCTGTTGGGCCCCAATGCATGTGCTATTTTTGCGTTTGGTTTTAAACATGGGCGTAGCAGACGACCGCCCTTGTATTTGGAAACAAGTTACCGATTACGCATTTTTGATTGCTCAGATGCTCGCGTTCTGTAACTCCAGTCTCAATCCTATACTCTACAACTTTGTGTCGAAGAAATTTCGAATGACATTTTCGAGGGCCCTGTGTCCACTTTACTATAAGGAGAAAAACGAGGAGAATACCACTGATATTTCACGAAGGATGACCATCTCGTATCGCACAGACGCCGATATTGATGCCTCAGAGAGTGCCTACCAACTGGCGCCCCTGAGACCGCTTAACTCATTAATAAAAAAGAACTGATACCAAGAAGATACATATTTTAAGTAAATTAAGTATTTTAAGTAGATAATTTAATAATACTTCATGAGTTGCCTGAACATTTAAAATGTTGCAAATGTACAGAAAACTCCGCATAACTCGGTTACCGCTTATCTGGAACAAATCTTCATTTTTTTTTCTTCTTTGGTTTTTTCTTCGCAGAACTTTTCCAGTCCCCTATGTATCCGATTTATGCAGAGTGCATTGCAGTAAAAATACCTCTGTAAATGTTCAAAAGTGTGTTTGGTGACATAAGCGCCGTTCTTAATTGCGTTGAGACAACGAGCCAATTCAATTTCGATTTTTAAAGTTTAACATATCCGAAGACGGAATTGTAATGTAGAGCGAGAAGCGAGGGCAGTGCCCACATTCCAGTATTAATTACCATGTCCATGTTCAAACATATTTGATTTAGTTTTGCTTCAGAAAGCACATTTTAGTCTGGTGTAATGCGGGTGAAATGAACTTTTTTTCTTTTTTCTTATCTTAAAGGAACCTCATGACACGTGACATGTTTTTCGTTGTTCATTATTGCTTGTACAATATCTATATAACGTTCTGGGTATCATTTTCATTATTATGATTATTACTATGTCATTACACTAAACGTTTAAGTTCTGTATAAGTATTTAATTTTCAGATGTTACGTGAATATATGTCTCTGCAAAGTTGACATCTTGATATAGCATAGAGATATACTGGGGTAGATGAAGATTTGGCATATAAACATTTTTTGTGCTTGGACTCTTGTATCGGAAATTTATCATATGTAAGCTCGCGTTTGGACGGTATAACATAGAATAACATGAGAAAAATATATCGGTGCTTGTTCTTTACCGTGACAAACTTGTTGTGAAGTCATGGTGACACGCTTTCATGTACAAATATTTACTCTTATTGTTTACTTTTTTATTGATGCAAATATATTCAAAACAAGTATGTTCCAGCTATCTTTAACTTTCCCCTCTTTGTTTTTATTATAACGTTATACAGACGCTTTAAATTACATTCTTAAGAGTTCATATTGGATGTTGATTTGATGTTGTTCAGGAGATAAATTTTGTGCAAATACACTCAAAGGCGTTATTATTATTTTTTGAAGGTAGTGTATATCATTTATGAGGCAGCAAGTTGAAATATCAAATATATAACTTTTGGATTTCATAGCAAGACGAGAGAGTACCCTGCGTTCAGTGTTTACTGGTGAATCTAGCTTCTACATTGTATAATCAACATGCCTCGATTGTCTGTAATCACTCAGTTCCTGTAAATAGTGATAATCAGAGTGGCACTATGTTGGAATGCGCCTAATTTGGCGTTATGAAGTCCCCTTGTTTAGTCTTATGAATTTAAATGTACTATGTAATAAACTATATGTAAGGGATTACTAAGCGAATCAAAGCATCACTGACATTTGCAATAAGATTACGTTTTTTACCTATGAACAATTTCAACTTAATTTGAAAGATTTTTTTTATGATCTCAATTTCCTGAATGAAATAGGGGAAAACGCTAAATGAGTTTTAAACTATCAAATTTCTCAAGGATTATTATGTATCTTAAAGGCAAACATGGAACAACATTATCGTGCAGTATTCAGGTTTACACTGTTCAGCACTGTAAAACGACAAGTTGGTAATTAAAGGCGATAAATCAGACCTATTGAATATCAAATACTTTCCGGATCAAACTGTTCAAAAAGAACAGTCCGAGTCCAAAGTTCTGAAAAAGATTTGACATGCCGGTCAAACTGATTTTATCTGATTTTATTCTTTATCCGCGCTTCACTCCACTACCACATCTCGATAAAACCAAACGCATATTATTGTCAACAAGACATTTAATCGATCGCTTTATTAGATAAAAGATTGCTTGAACAGTCCGGCATTACAAAACGGCCTCTTGGGGAGCTCGTTAGGTTTTCGCGCCAATAAGCTTTTAGAGTCTTACCCCTACTTTCGCAAGGTCGCTGATTTAAATAGATTATATTACATTTGGGCAACGGTAGTGCTCAAAGTGCTATGAAATGACAAATTGTGCATGGAATACGAGTCGGCGTGGAGGGTTACAGCAACACAAAATGGAAAACAATTTACCAGCCTAAAGGCACGAAGTCATAGATTAGTAGGGAATTGGCCACAGAGCATTGTCTTAGAAACCTTTTTAAAAAACTCAACGTTGTTCGCACAAAATTGTACTTAAAGGCACATGAGAAAGTGGACCACGGTGATGTTTTCGACGTTAGTAATGATTAAGAAAGATTTGGTCTGAACTGAGTGGCAACTACTGTGCCAACAACGGCCTAACAAGGCCAGTGGTATATTGAATATGGAGCGGGTCAATTGCCGGCGTTTCTGGTTACGGTTGCTCTCTTGGTCAATAATCATGTACGTAATTTTTTAAAAAGATAATTTCCACCTTGCTCCGAATGCAAATATTAATCAGAATAAATATAAAAGGCTTTAAGGCAATAGCATTACGATCCAATATCTGGTGTTGTCACAATAATAATGTGTATGGAATTTCTTACCGCGAATTAATGATACATTCACAAGTGAGAATTGCTTGGACGAACAAGGATTTCCCACCACTAATAATTTCCATGTGCGTTAAGTTTTATAAAGTTTGGTATAGTTTATTCAATATGACGTACTATTATCAAAACAAACAATTGGAGAATATATAGAAAAGTGGCAGTGGTGACAGTCCTGTCTTTCGACATTTTCTTGATTGACGTATCTATTTTCCTTATTGAAGATATCACAAGAGTGATTCCTATAATCAGCCATTAACAGATTGTTTTTTCATGGCAAAATGTTTACTTTCAGAAACAATCAGCCTAAATCAAGAGTCTAATTAAGGGGAAAGGGGAATTACTATTGCGCCTAGATTGGAAACCACTGCTTTCAAATGAAATTAGGAACCAACAGGTGGTTTTCGTTTATTCACGGACTGGAGTTTCTTAAGGCGTGTACGTGTTTACGGTTTTGCTGATTACGTTATAACAGCGCTTTGGGGCTGACACGTAAATTGTGGTTTTGTCACTTTAGCATTGATTGAATTAAATATCACTTCCGTTTCATTGGTGCAGCAAATCTGTTGGCAGGACTGCAATCGGTACCTCGATCCTCATCTTCTCATGGGGGTGGGGGTGGTTCAGATTATATCGTTATATGGTTTTTACCTGTATTGTACATGGGTTCATGACTCCCGAGCAAAAGATCGTATCTAAAACACCATTTAGTGCTCCATGGATTTGAACAACCTCGGGCAAGACAACCATTTATGTCCAAAACCCTTTTCTCTTTCCAATCTAGAAAATTCACACAATTATTTTACGATGCCGCGGGTGACAATCTTGTGATATTCAAGTGACATTTTGTATAAGAAAGAATATAATTAATGCATTTCACGTGGCGTCCATTACTTATATTTGAAACATCCTTTCTTTTATAGTTGAGTTGTCACTCCCATTTGTATTACAAAAAACACAATCTCCGAAGTTATCCTGACGCCCGGGTTTAGCTTGTATTTTCTCACGGCATCCATTATTGATATTTGAAACATCCCTTCTTTAAAGTCGAGTTGTCACTCCCATATGTATTACAAAGAACACAATCTCCGCAGTTTTTAGCTTGTACTTTCTTACGGCGTACATTATCGATATTATACCTCTTTAGTCCTTTCAAATTTCATATAGGAAATCAAGTTAGTTGCACTGTTTAACTTGGAGAGATGGCCGTGGAAAGTCGACTTTCGATGTTGATCTAGGAGTGCCTGCAGTGATTACTGTAAATTGCAATTATTGTCAAAACTATTAAAATATGGTGCAATATTAGAATCAGAGCTTTTACTGAGTCAGTCACAGAAAATACGTGACTAAGGTACCTATCAGAGGAGCCAAGCGAAGCACGTTCATTAGAAACGTATCATTTTGACTGAGTGGTTAATCAGTTCAAAAATAACTTGTCTTTCCTTCTTTGGATATGAAGCTAAAAAGAAGGCATGGGATAAAATTAAATTTTATTTTCATCTTTAACACTCTTTAACACTCTTACCGTGGTAAGCAACTGTTTCTGCAGTTATTGTATTTATTTATTTATCTATTTATTTACATCATTGTTCTATGTTCCCATTGCATTTAACACATCACGAAAATTGTAGCCTCGGTGCTTTAAGAAAATCGACTATCAAAGGTACTACTGTACCTAGCAATGTGCTCAAGTTTTATAAGCACGATTGCAAATCCTTATTTTGAATACTGCATTTTTATTTGGTAATTTAGTCTGTCAAAAAGATAAACTGCTATGAATAGGGATTTAGCAAATATCTATTCTTTGAATTTTCTCGGCTGATTAAAATGAATCCCACGAAACACAGAGTTGGTGTGATGTTATTGGCACCAAATACGTGAAAAAAAAAACTATTTCCTGGAAGAAATAAAAGCGTGTTTTGTCACGCACACTGAAGCCACCTGACACGACTCGATATCAAAGGACCCAGCTTCAAAGGCGCCGTTGTTCTTTGTCCTTATATAAGTATTCAGAAGCTGAACATGTTCTGTTTGCGTATTACCCCTATGGCCTTTTCAAGACAACGAGGTAGACACAACACTGGCTACATTCTGTACCCGTGCTAGAACTAATAAATATTATTATTTAATTGCTATTATTATTATTATCATTATTATTATTATTATTATTATTATATGAGCAAAGTGATGTAAGAAATATTTGAACTAATTACATATTTTCTTTGGCGTTACAAAATGAAAAATAATAAGAACATTCCAAATTTGTGAATACTATAGTTTAGTGCAAAAACTGATTCTCTGGAGTCTGAAGACATTCTTCTCAAAGATTGCTTACCTGGCTGACGCATATTTCTTCGGCGCGTGGAATATAAAGAACATGAAACTGACCAGAATTAATAGGCCAGCATTCGTATTTGAACATAAAAATAAGAAGGACATAAATAAAAAATTTAACTAAAAATAAACTTATCTATAATTATTCGTTCTTCAGTCTTTGCAAAAAAAAAAAAAGACAAATGCAATCAGT